TGCATCACAGGGTCTTTTGGACAGTTATCGTCCATATTTCTCTGACTTGACCAAAAAAGTGAGTTTGACCTTTTTTTTATAGTTTTATGAAGAGTAAAATAGTAACTTTCTATTTAATAAATTAAATAATTAAAATAAATAAATTTAAAGACAAAAAAAAAAAGAAATAACGAAAAATAAAAATATTTATCTTCTCCATACAAAACCCTAACCCCACCCCAAACTAAACCATCTAAACCAAAACTAATATGACGTAGTCACCGCCGACGTGGATGCCAACGTCAAGGACACCGCAAACTGTCGCACGCATACTCCTTCCAGTTCTCACCCACCTCGTAAAGCACATCCTTATTCCTCAACTCCAACCTTAACTCCAAAACCCAAATTAGAACCATGTTCTTGGCCTGGATTCTTTGATTTGGGCATTAATTATTATATCAATTGAAGATAAACTCATTATAGTATGATGCTGTAGAAGATTTGTATGTGGCCAATTTTGCGAATTAACATCCACAAACACTTGAATAAAGGAGGTGGATTGACCTCGTTTTGTAGATGATAGGTACAAAAGATTTTTGATGATATTTTTATCATGAACTGGATCTTCTGGATGCCGCTTGACAACCGACAGTAGTGGACGATTGAGGGTATTTTTGGATTTGACGAAATTGTTAGAAAAAATGTGCAATTCTTGATGCTTTGGAGGCTGGCTTTGATCTATATATGTTGTTGTTTGTCCAGTGGTATGTGATGTATGTGTTTGTGGTTCATGGGAAATGGCTAACGCAATGAATAATTTTATTGCTTGGTTTTTTGGTTGGGGGATGGGGATGGAGTTTTGTGGGATGGCAGTGAAGGTTTCAATGGTAGTGATGATGGTGGTTTGGGTGGTGGTGATGGGTGGTGTCGAAGCTTTGTAGTGACGTCGACAGTCACCGGCGAGTGCAGACATGAAGAGTGGGATAATTTTAGGTAGAAGAAGATTCAGTTTTCCTTTTTTTTTTCTTTGTTTTGTTATAATTATTTTAATTCTTTAATGTGATAAATATGGAAGTAACATTTTGCCCCCATTGACAGTGATTAAAATGTGGTCAAAATTAATATTTTGAGTCAACTGGTAGCAAATCGAATGGAAACCATCCAAAAGAGCTTGCGATATAACGGTTGAAAAAGTTTGAGATTAGGCTGCAACATTTGAAAGGTTTGGAGAAAGTCTGCTAGTGTGTCAAATGTTTGAGACTTTTACTGCAATTATCCCTATATTAAATAACCATCAAGTGAGAATTATTTTTAGACAATTTTATTCTTACCATAATTCAATTATTTCAATAATACATTACTTTTCGTTTTTACAATATATATTCAATATACTCTAGTTTTCATTTTAAATCATTTGAACAATATTATCATTAATTATTTTGTCAATTATTTAGTTATGATGAATTTATATTTGACATATTTATTACCTTGTTTTTCGTTGTTCAATATGTATTTAATTTATTTAACTATATTTGATAGATTCATTACCTTTTCAATTTTCAATATGTATTTGATTTTTTTAATTATTTGAACAATATTATCATACATTATTTTTCAATTATTTTGTTATGATCAATATACATTTGAGAGATTCATTTCGCTTGATTGGATATAAATAAATTCATTAAAAAAAATTTGAACAAAAATGAATATTTTTAGTGCTTTTTTCCAACTAATTTATTCAATTAATGTTAAGATACAACGAAGGTAAATGAGGGGGACATAATGCATATCTGTAATAAATAATTTCAATCGATATATTCAATGCGTGTTAAGCGACTATGAAGAAATAAGGGTAAATAGCACAAAGCGTCCCTACCTTTCATTATCATTGTATAAAATGTCACTGTTTTTCATTTTTTGACATTTTCGCTCTTATTTCTACCTTTCATTGTGCAGAAGGTCTTTTTCATCCATTTTGACGATTTTACCATCCTATACAAATAAAACAAAATGAAAAAAAATAAAAATAAAGAATTAATTGCAATCATAGTCCCAAATTTTCAAAAAATTACAAATCATTCATTATATTCTTATTTTGACCTCTAGCTTTCTATCCAAACTCATAAACCAACCAACCTTCAAATTTTAAATCTCTTAACATTTTTAGTGAAATTTCCACATATAAATGCATATTCAGGACCCTAGATTTATAAAACTAGACTTCCAATTTACAGCTTTTTTTAGTCATAAAAACAAACCTTCTTCTTGGTAGCGCAATCCTCAAACACGAACTACAGCACTTGTTCAAAATCCAAAAGAAACAAAAATTGAACGAAACATACTTCGTGGCGAAGAACATGTCAAGAAGGAAGAAACGGAGAGAAAATTGGGACCCATTTTACAGACACTTTTCCATAGTTTCTATTCTTCATGACTTCCTTCCTTTCATTGTCAATATAAATACCAAATTTCAGTTATATAAAAGTGTATTTGTCTGGAATTGTGTAACATAGAAAAGATATAGGCGTGAGATGGGGCGATGATGGAGCTAGACTATGGATTTTTCTTCATTTTTCCCCCTTTCTTGTGGTAGGGCGGGTTAAACTTGTCAGTGATTAAAAAAAGCTATAAATTGGAAGTCAAGTTTTACAGATTCAAGGTTCTAAATATGCATTTATATGTGAAATTTTCACTAAAAATGTTAAAGATTCAAAATTTGAAAGTGTGTTTATTTCTGGGTGTGGATAGAAACTAAGAGGTCAAGATAAGAATATAATAACTGATTTATAATTTTTTAAGAATTTGGGACTATGGTTACAATTAGTTCTTTATTTTTATTTTTATTTTCATTTCATCTCCTTTTGTTTTATTTAAATAGGAGGGTAAAATCATCAAAAATAGATGAAAATGACCTTCTACGTAATGAAAGACGAAAATACGGGCGAAAATGTCAAAAAATGAAAGGTATGGAGGTTTTCGACAATGATATTGAAAGGTAGGGACGTTTTTGTGCTATTTACCCAAGAAATAATGATATTTGTTGAATATTCAATTCAGATCAAAAGAATAAATGAATGGACCGTTCTAATTGTTTTCCTTAACTATTTAAATAGATTTTATAAACTAATTTCTATTTTATTTGAATCAAAAGTTCCTTTGACTTGTAGTATTAATTGTTTTTTATATTCTCATATTTTATAATACTATTTTTATAACATCTATAAAATATTTTAGAATTACGTGCAACATGTTCAACTATGACTAATTACCTAAGAAAGCCTTTAGTTAAGTGGAAATTACACAAAATCATACTTTAATTATTCGGGATTCCTAAATCAGGTTGAAAGTTTGAAATTTCAAAAATCGAATTTTTTAAAAAATTATTTAAATAAACTAATTAACAAAAAAATAAAAACCCTACCCACTACCCAGCCATCGCTACCCACTCGTCTCTCTCTCTATCCCTCACTCTCTTATTCGGCGATGATCCAGCCTTCTCAGTACTCTCCTCTTACTTTCTTCTACCCTTTTTCTCTATCTTCTCTCCATATTTCTACCATTTCCCTCTTTGGCTGCTAAAGCCACCACCAAGTAGTGTTGTTATCTCCGAAGAAGTCGTGCGCAGAGGCACTTTGCCAGAAAGAGCGTCACCCGTCGTTGTGAAATGCTGTTCTTTGTGACAAGCAGAGTTGTGAGTGGCACTTGGCAGCGGTGCTCAGGTCTGACAGATTTGGTAGAGACATTCGGAGATTTTGTTTGTCGTTGGTGGCAGCGATTCTATTTGGTGTTTTTGGCCGGCTAGTTTGTTCTCGCCTATTCTGTGAAGGTGTGTTTGGGTGTGTTGGTGGTTAAAAATGGTGGACGCGATGATAGGTGGCGGGAATTTTGTTTGTTGTTGGAAGTGGTGACGACAGCAGTGAGGCGATGGCGGTTGTAGGATGTTGGCGATTTTATTGGTAGGTCTTGTGGTTTTTTCTGATTTGTTGGTAGATCTTGAGGTGGCGGGTGCCCGAATATGCAATTTTTTGTTTTTTATTTGATCTACTTGTCGGTGGTCGACAATGATGGTTCTTGTGGCAGGTGGTTTGTGTAGGGGAATGGCATTGGTGACGCGATCTGGTGTTGGCGGTGGTGCGATTCTTTAGAGTGGTGGGATGGGGCGTGGGTACTATTGGTGTTGTAGTGATGGTGATGTCGACGATCGTGGTGGTGGGCATCGCCGGTGTTTTAGCGGTGGTGCGATTTGGAGTTGTGGGATGGGGTGTGGGTGTGCATGACGATTTTATTGGTTGACTGAAAGTTGTGACCAATGTGGTGGTGCTGACAGTGGTGGTGGTGGTGGTGCTGTTGGAGGCATCGATGAAGTGGTGATCCTAAGTGTTTGTGATGGTCACATATTATTTGGTTGATTGTGACTAGTGAAATCTGTGACTAATAAATAATATGTGATCAATAAAAAAGATAAATTGTGACAAAGAAAGAATGTATGACCTAAAAAATTAATAATTTGTGATTGTCTAATAAGTTGTGACCTATAATAATAGTGATCTGCGACTTATAAATTTTTTTATTCGTGATTGAAAAATAATATGTGATCTATAAAAAAAATTTATTTGTGATCGAAAAAGAAGTTGTGAGTTGTGACTAATAATTTGATAAGTTGTGACTAATTAATTTTTTGATTTGTGATCGATGAAGAAACCGTGACATATAAAATTTTTGAATTGTGATCGTAAAATAATTAGTGATATAAAATTTCTAATTTGTAACAAAAAAATAATAAGTGACTAATTAAATTATTAATTTGTGATCAAATTGTATAAATATATAATCTAAATATATTTAGTTAATAAATTAATTAATTAATTCATAAATAAATTTTAATAAAAATGATTTTTAAAGTTTGAAACTTTTTTCTTAATTTTGAAATATGTTATATATAATCTCTTATGAAATTTTCTTAGTTTAATGTGTCGCAGGTCAAATACTGAAATGACCCTGCATTGAGTTAGGGTTTATAGCGTCCATTTTGTGTTCAGCAGAAAATACATGGGCAAAATGAAATCTTGGCCCCTCCCTCCTCTTTTTTCTTCCTCTTTCCCTTCCTCTTCTTCAATCTCTCTTCGAATTATTTTTTCTCTCATTCCTCAAAATTGTATATCATCTTCCTCTACCATCCCAGAAATTATAGATGTACCCAGTCCCAATCCTTCTAGTATTGACACCAAGCGAACCTCGGAGTCCGAAAATTCAAGCAAGATCAAAACTTTCCAGATTCCTATTTCAGAAGACCCAGTTTTAAGCCAAACCCATGTCATCGAAACTCTTTTATCTCATAGGAATGACCCATTTTCAGCTTTGCAGTACTTCAAATGGGTAGAGAAACAGAGGGGTTTTGCACGTGGAAGTGTGGTTCCTTTCTGTCTCTTGCTGCACATTCTGGTAATTTCTGGGAGCCATGACGGTGTGGTTAGAAATTTGCTTAACAAATATGCGTCTAGTAATTCAGTTCCCTTGGCTGTTGTTCTTGTCGATCACTTTATCGATTGTGCAGAGAGATTTGGTTTTCAGTTAGATGCGCGGGTTTTTAATTACTTGTTGAATGGATATGTTAGAGCACGGAAATATGCAGATGCTGTTGAGTGTCTTAAAGCAATGGTTTCTTGCGGTATAGCACCATGGGCGTTGGTAATGAATAATTTTTTGAGTACTCTGGTTAAAAGAGATATGAGCGAGGAGGCCTTTAATTTGTTTAATGATGAGATTTTAAATAAATTTAGTTATGATTGTGCAACTGTAAATGTGATAATGGGTGCGTGTTTAAGGGAGGGTAGAGTGGAGGAGGCTGAGAAGCTTTTTGTGGAGGCCAAGGGTAGTGGAATGAAGCTTGATGTGGCTATTTATACTACTGCTGTTCGAGTTGCTTGTATGAAACTGGATGCAAACGTTGCATGTGATTTGTTGAATGAGATGAAGAAGATGGATTGGGTTCCTTCCGAGGGTACATTTACAAACGTGATTATTACATGTGTGAAGTACAGGAATTTAACTGAGGCGTTAAGGCTTAAGGATGAGATGATAAGTAGGGGATATAAGATCAATTTGGTTGTTGCTACAAGCTTGATGAAAGGGTACTGTCAGCTAGGAGATTTGAACAGTGCTTTAGAATTGTTCGATAAGATTATTGAAGATGGACTGACTCCCAGCAAGGTCACTTATGCAGTCCTTATTGAAGGATGCTGTAGGAACAAAAACATGGAGAAGGCGCAGGAGTTACATACCCAAATGAAATATGCAGATATCCAACCAAGTGTCTATGTTGTGAATTCTTTGATTAATGGGTTTTTGAAAATTCAACAGGTGGAGGCAGCAACCAAGCAGTTTGACGAGGCTGTTGAGGTTGGTATTGCCAATGTGTTTACTTACAATAATATGATATCCTGTTTTTGTAAATTGGGTAGAGTGGATGAAGCTTGCAGTATCTGGGATAAGATGATTGACCGAGGTGTTCAACCTACCATGGTTTCATATAACAATATGATTCTTGGAAACTGCAAGAAAGGGAACATGGATATAGCATTAGACTTACTATGCAAGATGCTAGAAAAGAACTTGAAGGCTAATGTCGTCACATATAGTATATTGATAGATGGATATTTCAAAAAAGGTGAGTGTGAACAAGCTCTTGGAATGTTTGATCACATGATAAGCTTAGGGATTGCCCCTACTGATGTCACATTCAACACCATTATCAATGGCTTATGCAAATTTGGTCGAGCTTCTGACGCAAAAGATAAGCTGAAAAAATTGATGGTGATGGGATTCATTCCCAGTTGCATGACTTATAATATCATCATTGATGGTTTTGTAAAGGACGGTGATATTAATTCAGCAATGGATGTTTACAGAGAGATGTGTGAAATTGGACTTTCCCCCAATGTAATCACTTACACCACTTTAATTGACGGGTTTTGCAAAAGCAACAACGTTGATCTTGCCTTGAAGATGCAAAATGAGATGCGAGTCAAAGGTATTCAATTGGATGTAACTGCATATAGCGCCCTTATTAATGCATTCTGCAAAAGAAATGACATGAAAACTGCCCATGAACTTTTTTATGAAATCATGGAAGTTGGTCTATCTCCCAACAGTATCATTTATAACACCATGATTAGCGGATTCAGAAACCTGAATAATATGGAAGCAGCACTTGAGTTATATAAAAAAATGAGGAAAGAACAAATTCCCTGTGATTTGGTGACGTACACCACATTGATTGATGGGCTGCTAAAGGATGGGAATTTAGTTCTTGCTTCGGATCTTTACGATGAGATGCGTACCAAAGGTATATTGCCTGATGTGATTACCTACACTGTGCTGGTACATGGTCTGTGTAATAAGGGACAGGTGGAGAATGCACGCAAGGTCTTGGAAGAGATGCATAAAAAGAGTATGACCCCTAATGTACTAATTTATAATACATTAATTGCTGGATATTTTAAGGAGGGGAATTTGCAAGATGCTTTTAGGTTGCATGATGAAATGCTTGATAAAGGTCTTGTACCTGATGACACAACCTATGATATTCTTGTGAGTGGAAAGTTCAAAGAGAACGGCTTGCCTGTTGGAGGTTTACGAGTCTAAACCATCATCGCAGTAATGACTTGCAAATCATTCTCTGTTGTCCCAAAGGAGAGAAACCCTGATCTTATATCTATCCACTCATCAGTTGTGCTGAAGGTAAAATATGTATTTAATTTATTTATTTTTTGTTTGTTTTACTTTGGAAAGCAAATGAGGAAATTTATATTGGAAATGTTAAGCCCGAAAAATGTTCGATCATTTGCCTCAATCAGGAAGGATTTGCCACATGGCGAGTTGAATCGATCCGATCAACTTCTGAGTCACCATTTGATTTAATAGAGAAATTTTTTTCTTGTGTACAAGTGTGTAGAGATAGGGAGACGTCAATAAGGTTTATAAAGAAAGCTATTGGCTTTGGCAGGGCAATTTGATTTAGCTGATTTATTTCCCTTGATGAAAGTGTTGAATTTAATCAGTTGTAATGATTTTAAGTTGTTGAAGTTACAGCGTAAGCTTGATGTTATTCTTGACACCGTTATTGATGAGCATAGAAGCAATTTGATAGCAACAAATAAAGCAAATGGGGAGTTTGGCTGTTAAGATTTGGTGGTTATTATTCTCAGATTCCAAGGAAAGTGGTAATTTAACTTTCAAATTACCAATGATAATATCAAAGCAGTCATTTTTTGTAGACTTGTAATTATATAGTTAAGCATGCTTTCTTTTCCCTTACCACATTTTGTTCTGAATACTAAATATTGTAATGTTGCAGAACATGTTTATTCAGCTGGAACGAAATCTTCGACATCAACACTTAATTGGGCCACAGTAGAGTTAATGAAAAATCCGCTTGTAATGGCAAAAATACAAAATGAAATAAGGCGAGCGTTCAATGGAAAGAAAAAATTAACGAGACGTACATTCACATGCTAAAATACATCAAGTTGGTTATCGAAGAAACCTTATGGTTACAGCCTCCTGTTTCTATAATTCCAATAGCATGCCTAAAGGAATGTGGAGTATATCGGATGCCCCTCAACTCCAACGTGATTGTGAACATTTGGGCTATTGGAAGAGATCAGAACTATTAGGAGAATCCGGAATGTTTTGAACCGAGAGATTTGAGAAATTTCAGTTGATTTCTTGGGAAATCACTTTGAATATCTTCCATTTGGGTTGAGAATGAGGGTTTATCCAGGTATGATATTCGGTTTAGCAAATATTGAGTTTCTTTTAGCTCAACTTCTTTATCATTTTGACTGCAAGCTTCGCAATTATCTACGTTGTCTTGAATGGCTTGAGTGTTTGATTTCTTGGAATATTTCTTTTTGTTTTCTTTTTCAATTGTTCTGAAAAGAGCATAATTTGTGGATGATGTTGTTAGTCTTTGAGATTCAATGTATTGATATGAATTAAAGTGGGATATGAATGTTAATCCATACGTTTAACGCCATTTTAGTGCATTTCTGCTACCTGAAGTTGAGCTTCTCAAGAAGTTCTAAAAAACACTTTGTTTGCAATTTTTCATCTCTATAACTTGAGGTTCTATAGAAAAGTATTTTGTGAGGGTGGTCTCTTATCCAACGAGGGACTAGATGGAGGATAGGGGATGGGCAGCATGTATGGATATTTGAGGATACGTGGGTGCCGTGACCAGCCTCTTTTAGACTCTATGATCGAAGCAGACCAGAAGTGACACATGTCAGTGATCTCTTGGATGAGGGAGGCTGGTGGGATGTTCAGAAACTCGATGAATTCCCCATTCCAGTTGACAAGTAGGTTGTTTTATCTGTTCCCCTCAGTCTGCACCGCAGAGTGGACAAACTCATTTGGCATTACAGCAACTTCCGTACGTATTCTGTCATGAGTGACATCCATCATTTGGGTGCCAAGGAAGTAGCTTGGGGGATGAAGGCTGGTGGAAAATTTTATGGGAATTGGAAGTACCGGTACTCAAAGCTGAATATTTTATTTGCAGGGTCTTTTGTGATTTGTATAGATCCTGTTTGAATTTATCACGGAAATAGGTTTTGTGCAATGTCAGTTGTGGGGATTTAGAATCTACTAATGTTTTGTTTCTACGCCTTGCAGGGAGATCGGTCTTTCCGGAAGCATGTTGGTGGTGATCTATCATTGAAGGGTTTTATACGATGAGCGATATGCCGATACTAGGGAAATAACTTCATTACTCAAACAGGGTCAATGACAGGATTTAAAAACAGAGGACATATGTCAAATATTCATTGGATAGTTTGGAAAAAAAATAAAAAAGAGCCATATAGGTGCTAACACGTAGCATCTATCATCTAATCCTTTCAATTGTCCTGTTTTAAGTAGCTTTATTATTGTTACCCGTATGGCTAAAGGGTGTTAGTTGTGGTTCGAAAAAAAAGGTGTAATTTTATCCTAAATAATTTTAACATTATTTCAATGTCCTTCCATAAATACATATTGAACGAAGTCGGAGAAAGTTTTGAACTCTTTGATGAAAGTCTTAGATTTCTATTAATATTTGTTGATAAATAAGCTTAACATAATTACGTGTTCGTGTATTTGAGAATTTTAGTGGTCCTGCATGAAATCAGTGAATCAAGTGAATTTTTGCATTAGCTACATGCATCAATTATTTTGGAAGATGGATGTAGTAAGTTATATATATGCATGGTTAAGATAAATGCATTTTGTGGAGATCCTATAAAAAGCTATGTAAAGTCGTACATTTTGTAAGCGGACGATCCGAGCAATAAAGTTTAGAATTTGAAATTTTGAATTAGGGATGGCGATTTGAACTGTGAAAATTGAAAACTGTGGTTAACCGATTGAGTGGGGCGAAAAAAATCGAACTGATGGCACAATGTGGTGGATATGGTGTTTGATTTTAATTACTCTGGTTCGGGGTGGGACGACGGGTATGTTATTTATGTTGTCGTCCCGTTCCGATGGAATTTTGCAGCATGTCATTTCATTATGCTAAAATTTATTCCCTGTTCACGGTGGGCAAAAATTATGTTACCCACCTACCCACATCGGCAGGTCAAACAAATCGCCCCGAACCAATTACTTGTTACCCAAAAAAAAAAAAAAAAAAAAAAAATTACATATGGAAATTGATACCAAAAGAAAAATTTTGGCCCATTATCGATCTATTAAGTCTAACTAATCTAATCTAGTAATTCTACACCCTACAACACAAATATTAATCATATATAGAAATTGTTTATTAAATTTGGATTTTGCATTTGAGAATTGAGATATTGTTTGCAAAGTTGGCTTAGTATAGTGTTTTTGTTTTCATTGATTTTCTTTTTCAATTTGACGGCTGGACTTATAAAAATAATTTATTTTCGTAGTTATTAACTGCGCGAACTGAGATACGAACTGAGACCAATCGAACCAACTTATGTGGTTATAGTGTCGGTTATGGTATGACCAAAAAGTTGGTGATTCGGTGATGATTTTAGCCGAACAGACTAAACTGACCTCAAATCGATCCGTTGCCAACCCTATTTTGAATTTTTCTTGCTCTCTCAAAGAATCTCCAATTTCCTAGGAAGTGAAACTAAGTGTTCATTTAACAAAGTTTTTGAAAAGTTAAAAGTTATTTTTATGATAAAGAAGTTGTTTTGGATCTATTTGGGTAATTTTGTGAAAGTGTTTCTAGTTAGAAGAATTTTTATAAGAAGTTGATCTAGGAAAATTTTCTCGAAAAACTCTCTTATATAAATTAAAAGCCATGTCAAACCGTCTTGAGTTTTGTTACTACATGATTTCATTTGACACGTGAAAGTTACGTGTAGATGTCAAGGTGGACTTCCGTAGGGGAAGGAAGCCACGTTGCAATTCATAATGATGTCATTGCAAAACTAATCAAACTAGTTCGCCAAAATAGATTCTTAAAGGCGAAGCCATAAGATCACCACATCATTGGCTTCACTGTTGCAAAATTCACATTTTTGTCTAAGATTTGAAGTTGACCTGGCAAGTTGAAACCCAGTGGGTGAAGGACTGAATCTAATGACATTAGGTCGAGCTCATTAAATTTTCGATTAATTAGATTTCATCAAAATATATCGGTCAAGCAATAGGGAAACCATCCAAGTATCGTAGAATTTTGTTGGATGTACATTCTTGTGTACAACTTTCATGACACTGTCGCCTTTGTGGCACAATCTGGACAATGACGTGAAAGGCGATTGGGAAAATTTAAGACTATGATGGTGCCATGTGTAAGAATGTAAAATTTAATGCAAGACAAGACGTACATGTAGCATGATTCAATATCTTATCTCAAAAACGAACAAACAAATAAGATTTTTGGGCCATGTGGCAATCAAATTTGACTTCACATGGAAAAATTGTTAAGAAACATGTAAAAAAGTCTGAAGAATCTAAAAGGCTATAGAAGGGTAATTTGACAAGGAGGTGGCAATGAATTTGTTGACTTCTACATTTTGAGGTCAACAATTTTGTGGTTGCTTCAAACATTATCAAATTTTGGATATATGTATAGTATTATTTTATTGAAAATGTGTGTTTAAAATAAGAAAGAGAAAAATTCATTTTCACAAAAATGGATGGAATATTTTTTCTTCTTTTTTAAAATTACTATTTAAAAATATGTTTTCTTATAAAAAATGGTGCTCAAATGGGGCTAAATAAAGAATAATTTTTCATTTAAATGTCCAATCTTCACCTGCCACGTACACCCATGCAGTCTAAATTTTCCGTATATTAATCAACGGTTAAGATTCACACAAGGAAAACCTAATGGAAATTATTTTGACGTGCAAATATCTAAAATTGAATTTTAAATCATTTTGATTTCTATTCTCTCTCCAGCTTTTCAAATTCATAAGATTTAACCAATATAGTTTAAATTTATTTATTTTTAGTCAAATTTACTAATAAAAAAAAAAATCATGGATAAAATTTTAGATAAAAAAGTTAAAAAATATTAAAAATATGATAATGTTATAAAAAGAGAGAAAAGATAATAGAATAGAAAGAAGTTAATAGATTTGTATGTATTTTATTAAGAAACAAAACTCTATATTTATAGGACAGAATTAAAGATACAACGATAATAATTTCTAAGACTATAAGGGTACAATTGTCATTTACTTATAAACCATAATATTTGTTTCGTCAAAATCTTGTTTGATAAAAATTCAATGAGACAAAAAATCAAACGAAGAAAAAAGTACAATTATTTTGAAATATTAAAAATAAATGTTACCTCATTAAAACCTTATTAGGAAAATTCAGTGTGTTAAAACCTAAGCGAAAGAAAAAGAATATGACTACTCCCCCTGATGTTCATCGTTGAAAATCTTTGAGTCAACGCACTCAAATCTTGTGAACCAATTTCTTGAATGTAGGTGTAGGCAGCGTTTTTGTAAATAAATCGGTCACATTGTCACTTGAGCGAATTTGTTTGACGTTAATGTCATCATTCTTTTGAAACTCATGTGTATGAAAGAATTTTAGATGAATATACTTCGTCATGTTACCTTTGATATAGCCTCCTTTGAGTTGTACAATACAAATAACATTATTTTCATACAAAATTATTGGACTATCTTTTGTTGCAATTAACCCGTGTAATGCTTGGATATGATGGGTCATATTCCTCAATCATACAAATTCTTGACCTATTTCATTGATTGCAACAATTTCAAAATGATTTGAGGATGTTGCTGTCAATTATTGCTTCACAGATCTCCATGATATAGTTGTTCTCCCACATATAAATATATATCTTATTTGTGATTTAACTTTGTTGGGTTTTTGATACCCAATAAATCCTGTGCTATGATGTTAACGTGGGTTAATATTATTTCATAGGCATAGGCCGATAAATAAAATAAGTCCAACAACCAAGTCCATGAGCTACACCCGGTCCAATTGTATTCCTTATGGATGACTTGAATATTGGCCCGTTTACCCCTTTAATGGCCCAACTTAAAACCTAACCCTAGAGTATATATTTGGTTATAACCCTAGCCACTTTCATATGATGATTGTGTGATTTTAAGAGAAGAAATAGTGAATCCCAATTGCCCCCTTTTTGTGTGAGAAAAAGGTGTNCTACGTGGGTAAGATTGCATAGCAACCAAGGTGAATCAATTGGTTGGGGTTTGGAGTCGATTAGACTAGTTGTTGGTTAAGAAAGGTGCGTTGGACTGAGCCTGGAAAATCACCGTTTGAAGATCCTTTTTAGAGAGATTCCGCAACAATTGGTATCAGAGCTTCAAGGTGAAAGTTTTTGCGCGTGAAATCTACCAAAAATCGTCCAGAAAACCGGCAGAAACGCAGCAGAAATCAGATCGAAGAAGCTGTCCAAAAACTGTTAAAATCAGTCTCCGTTTTTTGCATTTTCTGATCAATCCAGAAGGAGTTTAGAGAAACGGAGACCACTGGTGTGACGTGCAGGAGGAGGCGAACCCTGTAGGCCGGTGTGTGTCAGTTGACGACGGCGCATGTGGTGGCGCGTGAGGACCACGCGCAGAGGGAAGAAACGGCGCGTGTGGGCACGTGAAGGATTTTCTGGCGACGGTCCCTTCAGGCAGTTTGTTCCTTATATTATTTCTGGCATTTTTCATGTTGAAAGTTTTCTGTTTCAGGGTACACAGAAGAATCTGGACAGCGTTGTTCTTCGGGCGTTCGGGACTCGATCGTGATTTTTGGGTTACTGCAGTTTCCAGAGACTTTAGGACGAATAGTGGTGGTCCTAAAGTGATAAATTCGCAACTTTCATAATTTACGGACTCAGATAGGTCCGCTCTGGTATATTGGCTTAACTTAGTTTAAATTTCAGCATTAGCAGATCATCGTGTGGAGTGATCGTTAGAATTGGGGATTGTCATTGCTTGACAACCATTGCTTGTGCTAGAAAATTTAGGAATTATTTGCTCTGTTTTTTGAAGTGTTGAGTTTTGATTGCAAGTTGGTAGTTGATTTTGTGCTTTACCTATCATATAGTCACTGTGTGAGACTTGTTGCGTGAAAATTCGAACTTTTGTTTACATACCGTCATGTTGCATTGATTTTCCTGTTAGAACACCTGGACTTGACCCGTTCGAACATTCCCTTGATCTAAGATCGTGAATTTTATGAAACCCTGGGAATCTAGAAATCTGTATATTGCGGCCGTAGGATAACTTTGTGTGACCTATCTGTGCTTTTGGTTGTTTTAGTTTTTTTAAAAATGTCTTCACGCTTTGAAGTTGGAATTTTTAATGGAAAAGGGGATTTTTCAATTTGGCAACAAAAGATGAAAGGTATTTTGGTCCAACAAAAAGTTTCAAAAGTCATAGATGGCAAATTTCCTGCAAATTTAACAGAAGTACAAAAAGAAGAGTATGATGAACTTGCATACACTTCAATTATTTTACACCTGTCTGATACTATTTTTAGAAAAGTAGGAAAACTGGATTCTACAAAATAACTTTGGGAAAAGTTGAAGGATTTATATTTGCTTAAGTCAACTCCTAATAAATTGTACTTACTTGAACGATTTTTTAGCTTTAAAATGGAT